AAGAGGAAAAATGATAATGGGCTGCCACTTTGTATAGAAAAGGTTTCAAGTTCTACACCAAACTGATCTTGAGTTGCATTTGCCTTTCTTGAAATGAGAGTTAAACTTTTGTTTGTTTTGGAGATAGATTAATTTTCTGTTTATGAAAATGAATTTAAGATGATGTGAATCATCATTATGTAGAATTGATCAGGAATCTTTCTTAGCCCTACCTAGAAATGCCAGAATTGAATAGAAAATTTTGCATGCAAAGCATATGCCAATACTTTTTGTTAGATTGAAGGCAATTCAAAAAATCTATTACATTTTGTTTTCAGAGTTGCACAATACTGCTAATTTGCCAACCCTAATAATGACTATATAGACAAAGTGCTGCTCACAGCTCTCAATTTCATAATAGCTTACTATGTTTTATTTTAAATATTCCAATCCATTCTCAATGCTGCATGAAGAGGCTGGGTTAATACTCCATATTTAAATCTGAGAATTTTTAATGAATATGTTGTGTATTGCTTATATGTATATAATATCTTGTATTTTTTTCCAGGAAGGAAACTTACAAATTTTCACAACTAGAAATTCATATGGAAACAAGGACTAATGTGTCTTGTTTATCATATTAAACTGAAATGGCCAGGTAGTCCTTGACTTAACAGTTCATTTAGTGACCATTTGAAGTTACAGCGGCATTGAAAAAAATGACTTATGACCATTTTTCATGCTTATGACCATGGCATCATTCCAATGGTCACATGAACAAAATTTGGACACTTGACACATGACTCATATTTATGATGGTTGCAGTGTCCTGGGATCATGTGATTTGCAACCTTCCAACAAGCAAAGTCAATGGGGAAGCCAGATTCATTTAACAATCGTGTTACTAGCTTATCAACAGCAGTGATTTGCTTAACAACTGTGACAAGAAATGTCGTAAAATGGGGCAAAGCTCACTTAACAACTGTCTCACTTAGCAACAGAAATGTTGGGCTCAGTTGCAGTCCTAGGTTGAGGACTACCTGTAATTGGCTCAGCTTATAGCATTATCATTATGCATCCATTCAATAAAAGAATATGGCTATTCACTGACACCTCAGTCTCCATGGGACTATAGCCGTGATGGTGAACCTATGGCACGCGTTTCATAGGTGGCATGCAGAGCCATATTTGGTGGTACACCAGCTGTCACTTCCGGCGTGCATGTGCAACTGATTTTTCACACTTCCCAGAGACTGAGGAGGGCAAAAAACGGCCTCAACGGGCCAACCGGAAGTTCAGGTAGGGCAAAATGGCCTCCCTCAGCCCCCGGAAACCGATCAATTCTGAACTTCTGGTTGGCCTGTTGGGACCATTTTTCACTCTCCCCAGCCTCGGGAAGCTTTCCTGAAGCCAAATACATCAGTATAAAAAGCATTAAACACAAACCCAGTGTGTCTTTTCATGAATATGCTTAAAGAGACAAAATCACCAACTGTGCTGACTTGATAAAAACAAAAATCAAGAGGGCAGAATAAATACCTGGCATGGCAAAATAGAAACATTAGCAATTGGGCATGCCAAAATACCTGCCTATTTATGTTCAGAAAGGTTGATCACATGCATTCTGTCCATATTTGAAATAAGATTTTCTGTTGAACTAGTTTTAGATAAAAAGCGTTGATGAAATATAGTGTTATGTTAATTGCAACTATATCTAATACAACATTTCTCTATAAAAAGGCTTTAACCTCTTTGCACTTAAAAAAATCATTTTTGGTCATAAGAATTCTCTTTCTGCTGACAGTTATATAATGTTTTTTACGTACTGTAGTATTTGTAGTAAGTTAAATACTGAGAAAAATAAATTCCCTATTACTTAGCTGACATGGAGATAAGGAGGGATTTTGATCTAGAGCCATGGGCCTAAAAGACTTGTTTTCTTCTTATTGAACCTCTGTCATTTGCATTATTTCAACATCCATGTTCCATGTTCTTCTGAATTCCACTAAAAATCAGAAACATCACAAGATTGCAGCATGACACATTTAAATATGAACAACTATCTTGCTTAAAATTTGACTTTACAATGCCAAGTGATAGGGTCCAGATAGGATACACAGAGTAGAATTTCAAAATTCTGAGATTTACCTTTGTCTAGAGAGAGGTAGCAAAACCAGAACTGCTACTGTACAGATAGCAATAAAGCGTGAACATGTATTTTAACTCCACAGAACCCTGAAGACATAAAGTTTCATGTATGTGCATACTCCTTATAGTAATGGGTACAATGATAACGATTGTTCAATTTTCCCTACTACATGTACCTCCCAAAAATGAAAATATGAATATAGAACACTCACTCCTCCCCATAGGAAGAGTACATGAAAGAAATTTTATATGTAATCTTGTCCAATGCTGTACATTATCAGCTAGCGTTTCTATAATCATAGAAATCCTGCCGTAATTTCTTCATGCAACACATTTATATAAGGGTGCCCACAGACACACGCTGCACACGTGTGTACCCACAAAGACAATAGGCCAGAGGCCAAAGTTCAAAAAAAGGGCAAAGCTAGAACAAAAGGAATGGAACTGTTTAGCCTCCCCCTCCCCTTCTGTTTACAGAAAGGACAGACTCAGAAAAGATTTTGTGCTGGGCTGCAAGCCCAAGAATTCATTGCATGTGTTCAAGCACAAGCCAAAGAGCCATCTGACCCTGATGCTTTAACTTGGATTCTTTCACTGAACAGGGGTTAGGACTCAACGGTCCCTTCCAATTCTTTAATTCTAGACTGAGTTATATGGTAAATTTGATTCGAATTTCTGTTTACTACATTTTAAATAATGTATAGACCACTTTGCATTAAATGAAATCACAATTAATCCTGTCAGGCAGCAGGCTGGTTTTCATGCATCCCTCATTCTTCTCTTCCTATAAAGAAAGGAGTAATGTCTATAATGCAGCACCTCTCCATATATGAGTCCTCAGGTATTGAGAATCCTGATTTTCCAGAGCTCTTATTTGTATAGAGTGCCTTCACAGATGAGAAATTCTCCTCTGCAACGGTTCTATATCTGGAGGAAAATGAGATGACAGTAGGGCTAGTATATTTAAGACTTAGGAGAAATCTTATCTATCATTTAGCTAAATATGGCATATTGTTTTAAAAGAATAACACAAGAAAATAAGTTAATTCCAAGGGATCAAATATTCAACAATATTCCAGAAATGGTTACTACTTCTGCAAAAGAACATTGGCAGTAGCAATTAGCAAGCCAACATGAGCCGAGGTGGTGCAGTGGTTAGGGTGCAGTACTGCAGGCCACTTCAGCTGACTGTTATCTGCAGTTCAGCAGTTCTAATCTCACCGGCTCNATTTATAAGTCTTAAATTCTTCTTCTGCACCCTCCCACTACCTTTGAGCCACACATCATAAATCTATTTGTTAAGAACTTATAAACTTCCTATTCCTTGTGATCTGCAAATAGTAATTGGAGCCATGTTTTATCCCTGAATATAGTTCTCCAAAATAATCAATTTAAATAATTATTCATTTATACTTCACAGCATTCCATGCTCTTGACAAGAATTCCATTTGAGAAATATTCTATGTGAATCTATCATTCCATGCTATACTCCTGAACAAGGGATACCTCAGACGCCATCGTCCTATTTCTTTTCTTACCCCTGAAAGCTACCTATTCACCTGACCATCTCATTTAGCCTTTTCACAGTAACCCATGGAAAAAGTTGTATAACCCAATGTATCTGCATTTACATCATATCATCCAATGAAAAGTATAGAAGTAAGGGGTTCATGAATTCTTGGTCCATACTAAAGGATTCTCAAAGGATGATATAGAATATTTGGATCAGTGAAAATGCAATTTACCAGACATTCCATAATCACATCAGATTTTGTACAATTTCCATAAGTAAATGATAGAATTATTGGCATTCATGTATAGTTGATTTAATCCTTTTGACTATGTAGATTTCTTAAGTGGCTAATATTACAATACTGTTTCTTTATATGAAACTTAAGCTGAACCCACAGAATATAGGATAGGACCTTTAATCAACCTATAGTTTAAATATATTCCAATTTAGAAAGATAATTGTAGTTTTCCTGGAAGACTTTACATTGTCTCATAAAATGATCCAATCCTTTGGGGTTGCAAAAGTCAGATGGAAAACTGATCTATACACATGCCCACTCCCAAATCTATATCTATATGCCTTATCTATTTTGAACTTTGATCAGATATTATTCATCACAGAGTAGAAGGATGTGCTCTAATCAGACCTGTCTCTTGTTAAAATGTTTCAACTTGAATTGCATTTAACATTAAAGATCAGTCTTCCCCCAACCTGATGCTCGCCAGATGTTTGACCTGCAACTCCTATCACTGCTAAACAATACATCAAGTTGCTTTTTCATTTCACTCCAATATAAATAATTTTTTAATGAAGATAAACTGCTCTTTGTTAATTAGCATACAGATTGTACTACTTTACTATGTATTGTATTAAATGTCACAATTCACAGTTCTTAAAAAGTATTTTAAATCTTTCATGCCATATAATCTATTACAGTCCACCTTTCCCCTTCAAGTTTGTGACTGACAAAGATGGAGTTACCATGCAAATTTTTCACTCCTAGAGTGAATTGTTTTAAAGCAGCTCATACAATAAATCTTTAAAAACAGTGGGAGGAAATGGAAATAGTGACATTTTCTCCAATAGAGCAACTGTATAATACTAATAAATACATAACATACATCACAGGTTCTCTTCTTTCCCACATCCCCAAAGTTTTCCATTAAAGTACAGTGAGTAATTAATGAAAAGCCGAGGAGAGGTTGTTAGAATAGAAAATCTGGCCCTAACCCAAATCAAATGGTGCAGGAGAGATAAATCTACATGCAATGCAGAAAAATTCAGGAAGACTGACGAGCCTGTGGAGAAAAGAGAGTGTTAAGAAAAAGAAATATGTATTTTCCAAAAAGTAACCTCTTACCACTTTCATTCTTCTCTATTACATCCACCACTTCGCCGGCCTGCAGGCTGATCTCCGAGTTCTCCTGTTTCTCATAGTTAGATACCACCACATACTGCTCCAGGATCATAGGCTCAGAGCTAGCGTCAGTACCTGGAGAAGGGAAAAAGCAAGCTGTGAGCCAGCTTCCAGCCATGGCTCCTTGAGAGTCACCTCTGTCCATCCGACTCAGGATAGGCTGACTTGTCACCAAGGCCAAGCCAATCAGAACACAAGTGTGGCTCACAGCGTATCCCCAAATGGCTGGCCATAAAGGAGTAGTTTCCTCTGGCCCACAGCTCAATAGAACAGAGGAACATTGGAGAATGACTGAGGAAGGGACAAAAAACAAAACAAAACAAAACAAAAACCCACACTCAAGTGTTTAACACAACAGCATAATGCAGACATTAAAATGCAGGATGGAGTTTGAAAATAAACCTCTTTCCAACATGGGTCCACACCATACTCATTCCCATTCAGAGAGAAAAATCCATCCCAATCACAGCCAACATAAAATAACAGGAAAAAATGGAAAGCCAGGGCTGCTCTGATAAAACGGGGGGGAAAAGAAACAGAACGGTCTAGTCCTCAATTTCTTCCCCGTATAGACTGAGCTCCTGCTCGCGTTTTACAGGCTTGAGACAAGCAAAAAACGATTGTGGACGCCAATCATATTTGCCTCTCGCTGAAGCCCTTAAATAGAAAACACATGAGCAATGTTGAAAAAGGGAGGAGGGAATGGAGGAAGGGAAGAGGGGAGGGTGCAATGGTCTGTTTACGTGAAACAGAAGAGTTATAGCACAGAGTCCTGCTTACACAGCCCCCCACCTCCTGCTCCACTGTTCACCTTCTTCTAAACACAACTCAAAAGAAGTGTCCCTTTAAAGTAAACTGCAGAGCAAATCTCTTGCTACAACTCTAGCATTGCAAAGTGCTAGCAAAACCTGCTCCCTTATTTTTCCACCACCTCCTTCGATTTCTAAGTCTCCTTCTCTTTGCTTCATTATTTTTATTATGCATCATTTTTGCTACATTTCCCCCAAATTGATTATATGACACAGAAATAATAAACATATTCTGCTACTATGATCAGTTTTTTTTTAATGCTTTCCACAGCACGTTGCAGCAGAAACATGCATGGCCTTTGCTCATCAGTCACTCAGAACATAAACAAGGGCTTAGCCCGCCCACTTCTGAACACCCACAGGAAAATCGACTCTTATACACTGCCCTTTGGCGCCTGCAAGGAAGAAATATGTGCTATAAAAGCATTTTTTTAAACTGGTAACTTTTTTTTTCTTTTTTGAACTCTTACCTCATACTGGCATACTTAGGAATAAGCATACTTAGGAACAAAAGACTGAAAACCCCCAAAGAAGCCAAGAATTTCTCTCTAAAAAAAAACAACCTTGAAATACTTAAAGTTTGAGAGATGTTTACTAACATATTATATCAATCTAATTGTGCAGATCAAATCCCCCCCCCCCCAATTCCTACCGCAACTTTTGGCATCCTTTTGTCCCTTGTATTCTTGCCTACATCTTCAAAGCCATGCTTCTGTATTTAGTTTTTTCCCACTTGCAAGGGTGGTACGCATGACCATATTTATATTTCAGGTAGTCCTCAACTTACAAGTTTATTTAGTGACCGTTCAAAATTACAATAGTACTAAAAAAGTGAGTTGTCACTGTTTTTCACACTTACGACTGTTGCAGCATTTCCGTGATCAAAATTCAAACGATTGGCAACTGGATCATATTTATGAGAATTGCAGTGTCCCTGAGTCATGTGATCAGCTTTTGCGGCCTTCCAACAAGCAAAGTCAATGGGGAGCCAGTCGACTTAAAAAAACGTTACTAATTTAACAACTGCAATGATTTCAATTAACAATGGTGGTGAGGAAGTGTGTAAAACAGCAAAAGTGAAACCAGTGCTTATCTTACAAAACCTACATTCTTAATGCTTCAGAGTTCTTTCAATGCCAAACACACAGAGTATAAAGTATTTGATATGGACTTTTCAAGTATTTTAGGGTAGGGAATTATTATCCCAACCATGAGGTACTAACCAGAAATCTATCATTATTTCCATAAAGCACTTTGTCCCTGATTACAAAGGGATGTTAAAAGGCTTTTAGGAAAAAAAACACCTGTCACTTGATGCCCTAACGGATGCTTTTTCTTCTAATTAAAAAATTCCTTGGGTGGAATTGTAGTGAAAAAAAGAAACACGTGCACAAAGCCAGCAATGACGTGCAGTCACTGGAGGCAGGGGAGGCGGGGCCTCACCAGTCTCCTGAGGAAAAGGAAACAATTTTTAAAATAATTTAAAAGGCCAAGATAGTTGCTGCCAGACTCCAAGTCACAGTGACTCTG